CTGCCCTAGTCGGTCATGGCTGCGTTCTTGGTGGTTTCTTCCGCAGCTTTCCAAAGTTCTGCCTCGCTCGGTTGCCCTTTGATGTTTATGTTCCCCGCTGTCACAGTCTTCTCTGAGACTTTCTAGCATAACTTGCTCTTTGCAAGAACAGAGCTCTACTCAACTACTCTGGATCAAAAAAAGCTCCAAACCCTTCCTTGTTTTCCTTTTCATCAACTGTACAAAAACTACAAAGTGCCTTGTCGTTTGTTGGAGTATATTTGATTAGCTAAAATTGGCTAATTATTGTAAAATACACCTTCGATCCTACTGTAGCTTAATGCAGCTTTGAAGTAGTGTTCCTGTAAGTCCCTAGTTTGACCTTCACTGAAATGCTCGATCATGTTTTTCTAGGGGAATTAAAACTACAAAGGTTCTAAGATATTTGCTATAAGAGGAAGGTATTGGGTTTTTTTTCAATGAGAGTGCAATATTTTTCACAATAGAGCAATCAAGAAAAAAAATGAACTCTAGGAAAAGCTGCCCTGGTCCAGTAGTAAAATGAAGACAATTAAAAGTGCATTGGGTTAGACTCAAGTTCCCATGTATATCTGAAGTCATAGTACTGATAATAAGATTTTTCCCTGTGGTTTGGCTAAGGGGATGTTTTATGTTCTGTATTTTTCTTGAATGTTAAAAGTATTTCTAGCAATTAAAAAAATACATTAATTTCTCATAAAAGTACTTATACTGTTGGAGTGTTATTCTGGTCTTCATTTAGAAAGAAGACAGATGACACTACAGAATAATGAATCAGAAGGGCATGCATGGTGGCTAAGATACTTAAGGAATATTTGCTAAAGATGACCCTTTTAAATTGACACTTTTCATTTTATTAAAGAGTTCTGAGTGTTGTCTGGCCTGCAGCTTGTGTAAAGTTGTTTTTGGTGACCTGACAATCCTCCAGGTTTCTGAAACTTACCTGATTTGCCATTCAAAATGGGAAATTGGCATAGCCGGTGGAGCTGTAGGTCACTTTAGTGTCTGTCCTAAGTAAAATTAATGAAGGGATTGTTATGAGTTTCATTTGTTTATCCCTCCATGTCAATACACCTGGGTTCGTTTGTTTGTTTAAAGACCCTCTCAACCAAGGCTGACTTCATTCCTTGAGATAATTAGTCTGGTCGATAAAGGACCTACTTTATTCGCTGTATTTGATCGCTACTTAAATGAGATCTACCTAAAGTTACATAGGGCAGCCGACATGCCCCTGTGACATGTACTTAATTTGAGGTGATTCAGTATAAATAAGGTGGAATTTTAAGTAAATTGGAAATTGTTAAGTAATATTTCTGCAGAGTTTTCTGGAGATTTGGGGAAGGAATAATTCCATTAGATTTGTTTCATTACGTTCTGTAGCTAGTGTTACATCAACTTGTCTTAACATTTTTGATTAACCTGAACATTAGCAGGGATTAAATAATCATAAGGCTAAGCAGTCATGTAAAGATACTGCACTGCTTATTAAGCCAGTAGTGAAACTTTTCAACCAAGTGAAAAGTTGTGTAAGTAGTGTCAAACTTCTAAGTTTATTCCATAACAAGTAATTTAAGGGACAGCAATACTCTAAAAAGAACATTCTGCTCCTAACATCTAAAACTCAGTTCCCGAAGCACTATACTTGTTCCCGAATGCAATATGTGTAAAACCAAAATTTTGTTGGAAAGGTAATTTAACTGGTTTTAACAAAGTATATACTTTCTTAGCAGTTTGTCGTTTTGTCTCTTCTGATCCAGGTATATCTGCATTTGTAGAAGTTTGGTCATCTAACAGAACAGAAAATTACTCGAAAACCTTTGAACAGCAACTTCTTGATATGGGAGCAAAAGTAAGGAAACATTTTAAAGTAAATAGAATAGGAAAGCTCTTAATTACAAACCAGCTTGCATGTTCTGCTTGTCATGTATACTTCTTCTTAGCATGAAGTTTTTAAAGTGCAGGATGGAAGATAATCACAGACCTGAGAACAGACAAAGGTGCTGTAAAATTCTTTTTAGTGACAGATGGGAAAGGCATTTAAAGCCTCCTTATATCTATAAACCTCTTTGTATATTTATTAATATGATAGCATGCATTTGTTATGGAGTGTTTGGCTTACCTCATACTGTGGGCAAACCAAAGTGTCGAAAACCTGTGGTTTACAAGTATGTACCTTATGTTGTTTTGTTTCCTTTAACTTGTAGGCAGCTGCTCTGTTGTTACTACATTATTTTCTAACCTGACTACCATGACGTTTTATTCTTCTGTTCGCTCTCCCACAAATGTGGTTCAACTCCACCAAGTGCTAGTAGAAGTACATCTAAGAGTCTTTGTATATGTCTCAGAGACTTTTTCCATATCAAGTATAGCTGACTTGTAGGTGCAAAATATGTTTAATTGCCAGCTGTAAAATTTCAATCAAAGACCAAAGTCAAACTGGCATCTTCCCTTCTTCCACATTACCAATGGTTAATGGAGGATTTTACAGCCTGCATCATACTCTAAATAACACTTGTGTGAACTCCCCATGCTTTTTAAGTGGACACGTGTAGGTGTATCTTACTGTAATTTAGGAGATTTTGCTAATCTCCCCAAAGCCTCTCTTTCTGTATGAATTTAGCAGAGATAGCATGACAAAACAGTACAATAACTATTTTTATTATACAAGCAAATACAACTCTCAATAAATAATTAGAGAAAGAAATATTTCTTGTTTTTTTGTGCTGTACTATCAGATCTATGGAATTCTAATGATGTTAGGTTTTTCTCACAGAAAATATGACAAAGCATAAGGCTTCGGAGTTCCTGAAGTTGCTCAAAAAGTAGCTGGATATGGTGAAAGGCAGATAATACAGATAAGCCTATTTAGCAGATACCTGTGACTGAAAAGGGGTGGCCCTGCCCCTTCACTATTCCAGACACTTCCTTCCCTTTTATTGGGCTGAGCACAGGATAGCAAATTGACTTGGCTCACTCTGTCAGGAAATGAAATTCTAAATTAGTTTTTCACTAGATTGTTGACTCAGACATCTCAAGCTAAGGTCAGGTGAGCAGCAGAGGAAGTCCACAGTAAGGGAGGAGGCAGGAGAGGTGAGAGGAAGGTGTAAGGTGTTGCTCCTCCATAATTTGGATGCAAAGCTGTATCAAGCATAGAATGTGGGCTGTGAGCCAGACACTAGCATAAGCAAGTCAGCAATTGTATCGGGCATCATAACTTACTCCAAAAGAGATTCATTGGTCCTGTATATCCAGATACTTAAATACCATGGGTTTTTTGTCTTCCAAGAAGCAATAAATCAGCTTGCCACCAGAAATTTTTGGAAAAGCTGAATAGTTTTCTTGAAGCCAAATAGAAATCCAATGTGTTGGGAGCCATGTATAGTGATGCGGTGTAATGATGCGGTTGATAGCGCAACAGAAAGCTACACAGCTATTTCCATTTGGCTGTGATGAGAAGATGCTGCTGTAAAATATGGGTTCTACTGTTCTCACTATGTCTACAGCCACAACAACTGATCAAACAGTTTTATGCATAGGATGTTTAGTCTCCGCAAAAGAAAACTTTGGTTGTGAAAAATGGAATATCTAGAACTGAAAAGATGATCACTTAGTTGTCAATAGCGGTTGATAACTGAAGATTTGATCAGTTGTACAACACAATGAAAGTGTCAGGTATGATACTAGCTGTACTGACTTAAATTTTCTGTATTTCTGACTTTTTAAAGTGTTCTTGTGTATTTTTTTTTTTGTTTGTAGTAGCTTCAACCTTCCCTCAAAACTAAAAGTAATCTTTATTGATGAGAATTAGTTTAAAGGATGAGATTAACTGTACTCTTTAAACCTATGTTCTTTACTAAATAAAAAAATGTAGTTTGACACTTCTTTGCATAGTGGCAACTGCTTTCTGTAGTGGCCATTGCATAAGAAATGATGTTGGGCTACATAGATGAAATATTGTAAGATTAGTGATACAGCTAGTGTGGGGAGATGAAAGTGGTAACCTAGAGAAAAGAAGTTTAAAAACAAAAGTCTACTCTAGCCCTCTAGCATGTCTTGCATTGTCTTGAGTAACGAGACTTGAGTTTTGATTTCTCGAGTCTTCTTGCAAAGGTGAGAAAGATCAAAAGAGTCCTTGACACAATGTTTAGAATAAATTTTTACACTAATGGTTTATACGTAAAAAATAGACTATGCTAGCTAGTTTCATTAGCATTTTCTCATTATCAGACTTAAAGATGAGCTCTCTGTGTACTTCTGCAGGTTTCAAAAACTTTGAACAAGCATGTGACCCATGTAGTCTTCAAAGACGGACGTTTGACTACATGGAGAAAAGCACAGAAGATGGGTGTAAAACTAGTTTCTGTACTCTGGGTGGAGAGGTGAGTACTTGTGAATATGACGAATGTGACCCATTCTGGAGGTAATGGATTCTAGTATTGTTTTATTTAAAGCAGTACCTGTTTTTTTAATGTACTTGAAATAGTGATAAATCCATGAGTAAATCATAACTTTTCTATTGCATTATTCCTATTATTAAGCATTTTACTTGCATAAAAAAAGTAAAATGTTAACTCTGGAAAAATGAGTATGTTGAAGTAGTTCCATAGTGTATTTGTTAACCATTCAGTGTTCCACTTCTTTGCTCTCAGATGGTATGCATAGGCAGTGAAGAACAGATATTTATGTTGAATAGAATTTGTGTTTTTTTTTTTTTATGAGAAAGCACATTTGAACAGGGACATTGTATTGTTTCTCTACTTAGCTCGTCTAGACAGAATATCTCCTAGCAAGAAAGAAAAAGATCCGTATGTAGTCTGGCTTTGAAGACATTTGACAGGTTCAGAAGAGCACTGCTTGAAGATTCTTAACTACCATATGGAAAAAGTTAAAATTAAAAAAAATAATAGTTAAATTTCAGCCGTGCAGCCAGTGCGTGAGAGTTTACTAGTCCATAGCTGCTTCTCTGAGTTTACAAAATAGTTTGGAGGCCTAATTTAGATTTCAGATGAAGTAAGAACACTTACAGTGCTTAAGAATATATGTGTTTTCTACTCAAACACTCAAATCAATAAATTGCTGTTGTTACCGAAAATCCGGAATAAGAAACTTATCAACACCAATGGGATGTAGATAGGCAGACACTTCTTTATTGTGGCGCCGGGTGCACGGGGGATATCTCCTCCTAGCGTGCGCACCTTGCACCAAAATTAAACTTCTTATATAGAGCTTGCACATGCATAAACAAATTATTTCCCGAAAATCATTAGCATATTCTTCCCCTATTTCCTATTCTGCGCAATAAATTTAGAATCATCTGGAAATGAGTCTGGGGTATAATATGGGTAGGTGGTCTATGAGTCAGTGGTCGCGATCTCCCCCTGCCGGAATTACATTTTGCTTAAGTTCACGGTTTCTGGTAATTACCTCATGGTTTCTTGGCAAGTACCCATAACTCGTTAAGGCTGGCCTTCTTCATTCTCATTAATCCAAACCTTGATAGCTACATGCATTCTTCTAGTTCTATGTAAGTATCATAAATCAATGGGTAGGTCAACTTGTACTTGTTATCTAATTTCTACATGATTCTAACTTATCCCTTTGGTCTTGGTACAGGATTGTACAAAGACTTTCATAGCAGCATCTGGTTACTGTACGAGCATACTTTTCATTGAAGTATTTCTTATAGCTTTATATTATTAAAATCAATTGCAAACTATATTAATTACAAACTATTGATTAAATTCTAATTACTGAAATTCTAAGTATCAGTAACACTGTGATGGTGGAAATTAGAATGTAAGTCAAGTAAAGAGATTCTTTCCTATACCAATTGTAGTACACATAGAGGGATAGAAGTCTGCTAAGTGCAAAGTAAAACAAACAAACAAACAAACAAAAAACCCACCAAAAAGACAAAGGGGAGAGGGACAAAACTGAGCTCTGCACCCACTTAAATGTAGGCCAGTACTACTGCAAAACTTGTGATGCAAGTCCATCAGCCAAAAAAAGAAATTAATGCAGTTATGCAGAAACAAGATTTTTTTTATTTTTTTTTTTAAGAATGTCGGATGTAGAAATTAGAGCTGCACAACCCAGCCAGCTTTAACACTGAGGAAGAAATGCCTTTAGTTCTCAAAAATGAGAGTGATGCAAAATTTTATTTATGTGAATATATCTTTCTGTGACCTGGTGCTATCTGAGTGCATGAGAATGATGGTCATTTCAGTAGGAATCTTAGGTTATAAAATTAAATATGCTCTCCAGATGGTTAAGTGTATAAATACGGAATTTGAAACTGCATGAGAATGAAATACCTAAGCTGTGAATTATGATTGAACTTCTCTGTAATCTTTTTTTTCTGCCTTTTAGTTTAAAGTTAATGTCAAAAGGTGCACAAGAACGTACAACTTTGATGTGTGTTCTAGGCAGAATTCATAGGAATATTGTATCCTTGAGCAAAGTATAGATCAGGAGCAGCAAAAGCTCACGTAAGAGACAATGAATAGTCTCGCTAGTTGTAGAGTTATTCAAATGAGGCACAGACATAAAAAATTTCAATGAGTCTGTGCTAGCATACGTGCTAATTTTTTTTGTAATAAGATGATGGAACTGGAGTGCCTGACTTTGAATTATGTGCCTACTTATGTCAGTATCTCAGAAATTTGGTAGACAGAAAAATTTTTTAAAAAAGACATGTGGAACTATGGGACAATGTGAACAGGAAGGACTAAGTAGTCTGTGCCAGTCAAATAGTGATCCTATATGAATGGAAGCTTAGTTTGAAACTGATAACTGTGTAAGCAAATAATGCAGAGTTCATATGAGTTGAAGTTTTAGCATTACTGAAAAAAGATGCTTTGATCAACCAGCTGCTCTGTTCAAATTACTAGAGTACAAGAGTTTGTGCAGCATTTAGTGAACATTTCCTTGTTGAACTCTTACTGGATTTTCAGTGCTCTCTTCAATAATCTGCCTCAAATTTGGAAGCTTCTGCTTTATAGTATGAGCATCTAGTTCAGTCTAAACTGAATGCAGTTCTACAGTTATTAGGAAGTAATTTTATTGGGAAGAAGACTCTTTAAGATGGTAATTGAATTCAAAAAAATTCCTAACTCCAGAGTTAATGTATTTTTAATAAAAATCCCAAGTGGTTTATTTCCTTTTTTTTTTGTTTTCTAAGAATAGTAGATATGCAATTCAAAAAAATTCCTAACTCCAGAGTAAATGTATTTTTAATAAAAATCCCAAGTGTTTTATTTCCTTTTTTTTTGTTTTCTAAGAATAGTAGATATGTCTAACTTTAAAAATAGTGCACAAAATCATGTACTTGCTACAAGATTCATGCAAATTGTAAGTTTAATGCAAAATGAGTGACAGCTTTGGGATCATTGAAAACATTTTTTTTATTCCTTCTTTAACTCGAATACCTCAATGAGCAACCTAAAAAAAACCCCTCAAACCCAAGAACAAAAAGAGCCCTGCATAAAACAGAATTGCTACAATCTGTGTCCAAATTAAGAACATTCAATACTTCCAAATCAAACCTATGACTGGGAAACTCTACCTATGTATTCTTAGTACGGTAACTCATGTCACAGATAGGATAGATAAATCATTTATGTTCACATTTGTCTGCAAAGTAATAAATTCTTGTAAGATATTTAATGATGAAATTTTCTTATTTAGCTTCTCTGAATCAATGAAGTATCTGAATTAATGTAAATTTTAATGTAGTCTACATCTGTTCTGATTATTATACAGAATTTAATAATAGCCACTGAAGTCCAGCATGTTGAATATCATCTCTGTTTGATGCTCCAGAGAACTCTAAACTCAGTTAGTTTGACAAATATGTGTAGTGGTTTGGCTCTTTATTCAAAACTGTGTAAACTAAGCATTAGATTGTAATTCTACAGACACAAACTTTATAGCAGTTCGATCACTAGGTGTCACTAGAATCACAGTTTTGAATGACTTGTGAGGGAATTCTAGTGTAGTCTATTAAGGTTCTGTACTCTTTCCCATAATCAGTTTTCTTATTTATTGTTTGAGAATAAAACTGTATTTCCCTATTTTGATCACAGTAACTTTAATTTATATATTAATAACCAAATTCTTGTCTCAACATCATCCTTAGTGTTCACAAATACTGTAGATTGTATCATATTCCAAGATAACATTAATCCCAAGTCAGTTATTGAGTCAGTCTTTGAATATAAAAAAAACAGGAAAAACTAGGGATAAGGTATCAGGTGGATTTTTGGGTTTGTGTTTTTAAAAAAAGGTTGCATAAATATAGATTGCTTCTCCATAAAGGGCTGTTTTTAGCATTGCATATACAAAGAGAAGGCTGAAAACTGAGACTAATGGGTAAGATGTAAAAGCCAGGACCAGGTGAAGCTGCCTTCCTCTTGCCTGAATAGAAAATTTTCCTGCCTTCCCCCACCATGACATTTTGTGGTTGGGAGTTTACTGTCACCACAGTGACCAAGTTAAGTTTAAGTTCACTAGCTAGAGAACAGTGAAAGCCTACGGTCCTCACAAAAGGGCAAGATTTGAGGTTCATGAGAATCTGGCCAGAGGATTTAGTACAGTGAATTTTGAATTCATGGAAAATAACATATGAGTGGGAATCTTTGAGTTTCAGAACAGTGATTTAGAGGGCATCATTAGGACAAAAAAATTGTGTTGTGCTATATGGATGGATTGCTGTTTCATTGTTACAGGGCTCAGACAACTCTTTATTGCAAAAAGGTTCTCATTCTTAAAAAAAAAAAACAATAAAGAACAACACGCTTTAATTTATTTTACAGGTGTCGAGAAAGTGGGGAACATGTTGATGAATCCTTATTTCCTGCAGTAGACACTAATGAAGGATTACCACTACTGATCAGAAAAGTGAGAATGTGATTTATTTTCTTTAAATAGGCCTAGAGTAGTAAACTTTAAAGTTTGAATTTGACTTCCTGACCTTGGTCATTTGAACTGTTTCTTTTCAGAACATTCTGTAAACTGCCTATCCATCTGAGCAGGTTTTTAAAGGTAGGCTGTGGCTGCGATGTGACCTCTTATCTGAAGAAAAGAGTAAAAGTAGAGTTTTTATATTGGTCAATAAAGAAATGAAGATTAAATTAAAATGATGTAATGATTAATCAAAAAGACATGGCTGCAATGTTGCGACAAACCCTTAACCCTTTTGCTTTGCTTTAAGCAAAAGAAGAGAAGAGGGTGACTTAGTCTCCTTTTTATTAAGATCTAACCTAAATAAATCTGTTACATTCTTTTTTATTTTGTATTAAAATTCATTTTGGAAAACGTTAACTTCTACAATTATCTGTGACTCTCAAGGAGGTGATAATAAGTAGGACAAAGTTAAACATTCATAATAAATACTGTGATAAAGTGGTAGGCAAATAGGAAGTGTAGTTACTTCTGGCAGTTTCATACCATGTAATTAATAATTTTGTGTGTTTTGTAGCACAAATGTATGCAGCCAAAAGACTTTGTTGAAAAAACTCCAGAAAAAGATAAAAAGCTGCAGAGAAGACTGGACCAGATGGCTAAAGAATTAGCTGTACAAAAGATAGCAATTAATGCTGGTAAGAACTACTTTGAACTAAGATTCAGTATTTTAAATTATTTCTTTAAAGCACTTGATGGGTTTTGGGTTTTATTGTTTTTTGTTTTGTTTTTGGGAAATAAGGTTCCTTTTTTACAGAGGAGTTCTCAAGTTTTTGGTATTAAGGCATCTGTAGTCATGTTAAGTGTAAGGAACCTAATTTTTTCAAGTTTTTTTGAAAAAAATGAAACTTCATCTGAAGCTGTTATAGCATATAAATATTAATGTACAAATGCAATTTCTTTGTGTAGAAACTGATACACCAGCTTTACTATTTGAAGACAATGGTTCACTTGTCTACAGCCCTGTTAATAGGATAAAAGGTCAATGCAGTGAAATGGAAAGAAAAATAAAGGAGATGAAGGAAAAAAGAGAAAATCTTTCTCCTACTGGTAAGAAGTTAAATTTTACTTATCCATGCAGAGATGTCTACCATCTTTATTGCCGAATTTTTGGCACACTTATCTTGCTCTGGGCTTCAGAATTTTTTTCGCATCTTGATTACATGCCTTCCCTTTTTCCCTGGTTTTGAGTAGATGTGAATGCTTTAGCTTTTAGTTTCTTTCTATTGAAGGGCACAAGAAGTCATAGAGGACAATGATTTCAAAAAGGGATTTCTTAATCACTAGACTCCTCAAGAAGATTAGTTTTTAAGGTAGACTTTCTAAACTTGTGAATTAATATTATCACAACTTGGCTAAACTTTATGGTGAGACTCTACATCTTATTTCCTGTTGAATTTTAATGTTAATACTGTACTTGACAAATATTGTAATGTTATTACTCCCAGGCCAACAGTTTAAAAAGGAGTCTAAAAATGATAAGACATCTGTCCAGGTACTGAAGAAGAGGATTTTAAGAAATAAATGAATTTTAATGACCTAATTGCATAAATCTAGTTGACTTAAAAATGCAGATCCTGATGAATTAAATGTAGATTGTAGTTTTCAAATAATTTTTTAGAGTCTTTGTTACTGTACTGTGAAAGTATTGAGGCCTGTATCATTAGGTTTTGTCAGTTGTTATAAAAACTATTGAAATGTAGACCATCTTTTGAGGGTGTGGAGTCTGTAGTATTTGAAGTTTTAAGAAGTCTGTGTCAATTAAACTGTCAGTTTATAATTCAGAAATAATTGTGGAAGAAAACTAAGGAACCAGTCATACATGGATGAAAAATTAAATCTAATTTATTTTATCATGGCTTGTATTTGTTTTCTTTTTGAGTTTTAAGGTAATACAATCAAACATTTTGAAAAGCATTTCTGCTATATCAAGGCTTTGCAGAATTTGACAGATTCCTTAGTAAAATGCCTCAACAGTCCTAGAAATATCTATAATATTTTCTAAATGGTTTGCCATCATTCTTTAGTTTCAGAAAAATGTGATGCTGACTTATCTAGAAAAAAAAAATTGCCTAAAATTGTAGAATATCTAACAGCTTTTTTCGTTAATATATGTATTTGAAATACTGTTGAGCAGTCTATAATTATTTGTGTGGTTATAGTTAGTTGGTAAAGGAATGACTTGTCTCTTACAATTGAGCTGTTTTGAAATGTGAGTAGATGGTGTGGAAATCTGTATGTTTGCAAATAGGGCTAACTAGTTTATTATTTACAAATTCCTAGCTTCACAAATGTCTCACACGCCTCCAAGCAGCTCACCAGGAGAGTGCCCACTGTCTACTTGTGTCGTGACTAGTTCGGAAGATGCCTTGTTACCAGGTAACTAACACGACTCTATGTATTTACAGAAATCAAAAGTAATACATGGCCTGTATATCTTATTTTGGAAAGTGTAGTCTATGGAAATGGGAACTGTATATACGTGCTCTATCATTTGTATTTAAAGATTTTAGTTTTTCTTAACTGGCAAAGTATGTAGAAGTAAGAATTCAAGGAAACGAAGCATGAGGAATCACATTGGGTGGACGCTCTGCCTCACTGCTGTGTTGCTTGCCTCACTTCCTCATCTTTCCTCACAGTTCCCCATGAATAGCTTCTTGTCCTGGCATAGTGTTGGTCTTCTCTGCTCTTACAGTGATCTTGTATAGAATACAGAGTGCATGCTAAACAGTGTGATGTGGGAAGCAAAAGAGAGAACTGAATGAGAGAGAGACCTTTAGAAATATCTTCCAAATTTTTAGTTGAAAACCTGAATTTAAAAGGAAACCTAATGTGTTTTCCATCTTGAATATTCAGAGATTGAAGAAATAACAAGAGTAAAAATAAATCAGCTTTTAAAATATTTTATTTTTGCAGACGAATTCAAGTCATTTGTTATCAAGATTTTTACTCTCATAAAGTTAGGGATTTGTTCCTGCGTTTTGGCATAGTAGAAGGACATAAGGGAGAAGATTATTGTGAAGGCTATTGAGCTACATCAGTGGGCATCTTAACAGCATTAATCATGCATGCAATGGGCATGTACTTCAGACATTGCGTCTTCTGTCAGTCACATGAGCAAAAAGCTGAAGTTGGATGCTGATGTTTGATCTCAGTAGAAAAGTAAGGAGAAGACAGTCTTTACAATTCATAATGAGGGCCACTTGAGTGGTCTGCCTACTCACCGTTCTATCCCAACAGTACGCTATACCTCACGCTGTTTTCAAGTGTTGTACTTTGTTGACATCATACAGGAATTGTGTCATGCTGGCTTACATGAGATCAGAGGCAGTATCTTGCAGCGTGAGACAGACAGGTATGTCTTCATGCAATGTTAGGGAGAAGTAATAGCTTAATACTGGAAGTAGCATAGCTGTGCCAACAATCTTTTTTGTTTTGGTAAATTAGTTGTGTGCTGATGAGGTTGAATATTGTGACTCGAGAGCTTTACCTTGACAGGCTGGAGAGATGGGCCTGTACAAACCTCATGAAGTTCAACAAGGCCAAGTGCAAGGTCCTGCACATGAGTCGGGGCAATCCCAAGCACAAGTACAGGCTGGACAGAGAATGGATTGAGAGCAACCCTGAGGAAAAGGACTTGGTGGTGCGGGTTGATGAGAAGCTCAACATGACCAGCAATGTGCGCTTGCAGCAGCGCGGAAAGCCAACCGTATCCTGGGCTGCATCCAAAGAAGCGTGGCCAGCAGGTCGAGGCAGGTGATTCTGCCCCTCTACTCTGCTCTCGTGAGACCCCACCTGGAATACTGTGTTCAGCTCTGGAGTCCCCAACACAAGAAGGACATGGAGCTGTTGGAGCAGGTCCAGAGGAGGGCCATGAAGATGATCCGGGGGCTGGAGCACCTCTCCTCTGAAGACAGGCTGAGAGAGCTGGGACTGTTCAGCCTGGAGAAGAGAAGGCTCTGGGAGACCTTCTAGCAGCCTTCCAGTACTTAAAGGGGGCCTACAGGAAAGCTGAAGAGGGACTTTTTACAAGGGTGTGTAGTGGTAGGACAAGGAGCAATGGCTTTAAACTGAAAGAGGGGAGATATTGATTAGAGATAAGGAAGAAATTCTTCACTCTGAGGGTGGTGAGGCAGTGGAACAGGTTGCCCAGAGAAGTTGTAGATGCCCCATCCCTGGAAGTGTTCAAGGCCGGATTGGATGAGGCTTTGAACCTGGTGTAGTGGAGGGTGTCCCTGCGCGTGGCAGGGGGCTTGGAACTTGATGATCTTTGAGGTCCCTTCCAACCCTAAACATTCTTTGTCTCTCCTACATTACAACCGCACAGTGTAATTTTACATTAAGAATAGACTTCCACGTCCCATGACAATATTCAGTGTAGCTTCCATCTCTGATGCTCTGTGACAGTGACCTTTTGGTTGTGTTTGTGAAATACATGAGAGTATTAACAATGGTTTAAAAAGTCCAAGACTCCAGTTTAATTTGAGGATTGAAATTAAGACTTTCTCAATTGTCAATATGGAAGTCTGATCATATCACATGAAACTTCTTTCATCTCCATATACTTCATTTTTCCTAATTTAGCTAGCTACACCATATGTTTAATATTTATATTTAGTAAGCAGATAATATCAAGACTTCCCCTAAAACCTACAGGAGCGCTTACAGAAGGAGTAAAAACTGAAACTTTGTGCTCGATGTGTATTTAAACAAAAGCATCTATTGCAGTAATCAGACTATAGAACAACCAGATTTTTAAAAATGTGTTCTGAATAATCAAACATACTAGCCTGTTTCAGAGAAATTTATTGTGAAGTTGTGACAAGATTCCGTATATATCATCTCCCGCAAAATCATTTCATAAGCATAGCTACAAGAAATATTTTCCACTTTCAAATTATTTTTAACACATTTTGTTGACATACCTGATATGATGCTATGATGTTGTATTTAATTTCGTCTTAATTGCAAAAACTACAAAGTGGTGGTAATGCTGTGGTAGTAAAAATGATTATTGAGTTTCCAGTATTACTAGTTAGCTTTATCAGTGTAAAATCTTGGTATTTTTCTCCACAAATGCAAGAGTGAAAGGGAGTTCCTCTGCTGCTTTTATTCAAGAAAGCGGAACAAGACTTATGGGTATTTACTACTGCATAAGAAGATACTATGGCTAGAGCTATCATAGCTGCTTTTTAACATAGAATGTGCTTTGTTTCTAATCATTTTCTGTTTAGTTTTTGATGACTTGCCATACAATATCCAGAAAAGTGGATAAATCCTTGTTTTCTTCTTTGAGTAATTTCATATGCATTTTACTAAGAAGTCAGTACTCTTTCTGCTTTGTTATTTGTTATGTTGCCACTTTTCATGTTTTGCAGGAGAAAAATTGGAAGACTGCTTGAACTCAAGTTATGATCATCTTTGGGGTACTGATAAATTAAAGAGACAGAAAACAGAGGTAGGAAAAAATGCCGGTGATACTTCGAATGATATTCCTGTATCCATGAGTGCATCAGTGAATGAGCAGAAGAGCTTAACACCAAAACAATATAGCAGAAGAAGCTTAAGAAAGAAACAGATTTTCCAGCACACTTTGGATGATGAATTGTCTTTAGAAAAGAAAGATCTAAAAAAGTTTACAGAGAAAAATCAGAAGGATGAAAATAACGTGACTACTTCAGCTGCAAATGAAAGTTCTTTTCTCCAAATCGAGTGCTTGGGTCGCATTACTCCTTCCAAAAAAATAGTCAAGTTAAATACTGTTCCAGCTTTGATTGACGGTCTCTCTGATTCACCTATGAACAGTGAAGACTTAAATACATGTTCATTGGATAGAAGCTTCCCTGTTGACAGAAATGATTGTATTCTTGAACACAAAAAGAGGAAGAAACTACAAACGCTACCTAGTTTGAAATGGGCTACCTCAGAACAGGGTGCATCAGGGTCTAAAGAGTTCTTGCAAGCAGTTACTACATATAACAAGCCTTTTTGCCCTGAAGATGCTTCTTACGATGACTTCTTTTCCTCGTCTAATGTGAACAAAAATGAAGTACAGGTACGAGGACCAAAGGAATCACAGAATCCTGCT